GCTTGCATATGCACCCTTTAAAAAGTGGTTATTTCTCATTGGTGATGTGGAGCAAATGCCAGACGGAACATCAAAAATTCAGTTTTCCATGAGAGTGGATAATTCTTGCCACTTTATGTAACTTCACAAAAAACATATCAACCTTCCCCAAATTGCAGCTCTCCAAAAGTTTGACTACAAGTCCGATCAACCCTAGCCAGGCCTATTATTTTGCTACTTAGACATGACAGCTGTTAAGTAACTAAACATATCCAGAGGACATTCTTTCTTTACATTGATTGTCACTACTATAACAAATGAACTTCCTTTGGCTATCTTTCGTCACTTATTTGCTTTCAAAAAAATTGCAAAAGTGGTTTAGCAGAACCAGATTGTTTAGGGGTTCCAGGGGAGAAGGTATACAACTGTCTCATTTCTGTGGACTTTGTTCAATTCTTCCTAATAATTAGCTTTTGATGTAGCCTTTAGATTAACTAAATGCCTTTTGGCAATGTATGAACTGGGTGCCTTATCAGTGACAAATCAGGAAGTCATAGGTGCACCAATTTATAGGTTGCTGAGTAAAGATAAGATCAGTTGGTCAATGTTTTACATTTAAAGTGACCCAGTACAAAGGAAACAGAATGATACTATCAAAAGGCACTGGAAGGTGCTATTTGCATATGCACAAACTTGGGCCTTGAACCACAACTTAGAAAGCAACATTTGACCCCATCTCTATGTAAGTAAGGATGAGGAATAGTCTTGTCTATAAGATGGTAAAATATTCCTTGATCTTGCAGGGCATGTAATGTAACATTTGACAATCTTCTTTTCCCTCATACTTCTAAACACAGCAAAATAGAACTCAGTTGTCCATTTCCACGTTTAACTGTTATGAATGTTCAGGTGCAGAAGAAGACTAGGTCCTGTTTATATGAACAATTCTATATGATATAGCCCTGGTTTAACCACTTAACTTTATCAAGGGATTGATGGAATCACTTGCCCGTTTTCATATCTTGCTTTAAATTAATCATGAGGATAAGATTTCCTACCCCGTGTTTCCTCGAAAATAAGCCTGAGTCTTATATTTATTTTTAGTCCAAAAGACCCATTAGAGCTTATTTTCGGGAGTGTCTTATTTTGCAGGCGGAGGCAGAGGTACCAGGTGGGGCAGAGGCGGGGTCATCACGGGTGGGGTACCAGGCCCGCTGGAGGACCAGGTTGGAAGGCGGGGCCAAGCACAGGAACCACGGAGTTTTGCATGGTACAAATAATAAGAAGATACTGTTACCACACCAAAGCCATTTAGTCCGAGGTGACCAGTGAATGTGGTTTCAGCTTTTACACTGTCCTTTGACTAGAAAGGGTCTAATTCAGGGATCGCTCCCCTTTTCCTTCAGCATGGCCCAAGCTCCCCACACTTCTTTCCAATTCTGCCTCAAAGCTTCAGCGATTCAGTTCTCTCCCGTCCTTCCCAGCCCGTCCTTCCCTAACCCCACCCCCTTCCTTCGATTACCACCTCCTCATTTACCTATTTCCACCCACGAGGGGTAGGCTTTCTTTCTCGTCACTTGTTCTGTTCAGGGACTGTCTACAAATGTGACTTTGAGGCAGCAGCTGGATGAGTTTCAATTGCCAGGTGTGGCATCTCAATGCTGTGGATTCGCTGCTCTGCAAATGTTTGTATTGGATCTCTCTCTCTCACACACACACACACACAGAGGTTGGATCGGATCTCTCTCTCTCTCTCTCTCTCTCTCTCTCTCTCTCTCTCTCTCTCTCTCTCTCTCTCTCTCACACACACACACACACACACACACAGAGGCTCCTGAGCTCTTGGCCTGCTAAACCTCACTTGCACAGAACTTCAGCACCCAGCATACACCAGGCTGAAGAGGAGTGGAGCCCTCCAATAAGCCAAAACCAACAGGCGATGCTCCCTTCTCCTTTCAGAGTGGGACGTGTTCTGCTGCTGAGAAAGTAAATGAATAAAACCTTTGCAAGAAAACAGTCCTGGAGAAGAACAAGCGATGAGAAAGAAAGCCTGCCCCACTTGGGTGAAAATAGATAAATGAGGAGGTAGTAGTCAAAGGAACGGGCTGGGAAGGACAGGAGAGAACCGAATCGCTGAAGCTTTGAGGCAGAATTGGAAAGAAGTGTGGGGAGCTTGGGCTATGCTGAAGGAAAAGGGGAGTGATCCCTGAATTAGACCCTTTCTAGTCAAGGGACAGTGTAAAAGCTGAAACCACATTCACTGGTCACCTCGGACTAAATGGCTTTGGTGCAGTAATAGTATCGTTTGTACCATGCAAAACTCTGTGGTTCCGCCCCCAGCCTGCCTGGGCTACCTCACATCCCATGCGAGAGACATCAAACTGGCCACATTCACCCACTTCACCCCCTGGGCAACCACAATGGTAGGGCTTACTTTTGGGGTAGGGCTTATATTAGGTCCACCCCCCAAAATCAAGCTAGGGCTTATTTTTGGGATAGGGCTTATTTTTGGGGAAACAGAGTATCACGTGCAACTTCTATTACTATGTTGTCTCATTCAGTGGGATAGTAAAGAAGAAACATTTAGATGATCATATTCAAATCCAGGAGATAAAGATATAATCTCTCTTTCCTGAGGCTCCCAGTTTCATTGCCCTCTAATTCAGAGTCTATGTGCAAATGTCATGTGACCCTTGGAAACCAATTGTGCCATCCCTTTGGAAGATAGAGTAAAACAGATTCCTCCATTGTTGGATTTCCTTCATCCTCTTGGAATTTGCTACAAGGGAAATGAATATTGGAGCACAATAAACTTCTCAGTCATATTAAAGCAAAATCTAGAATTATATGTGAAGGTTTGGGGCACCTGCAAATGGCTTTACTAGGCCTTCTTCTCTGAGTCAGGCATAGAAGTGCAGCCAATGACCCTATCATTTATATGGGTGGCAGGGAGAAAAAGAGGAGAGTCTGCTAAATGCTCAAAGAACCCAATGAAACTGTCATATCTGGCTACCCTTCCCCTTGTGAAATAATCAAATTTACTGGTAATAGAAACATAATGGATTAAGAGGAATGTGAATTGCTTATGCACACAAAAACACAGCAATTTTCCATGTAAATAAGTCCATTTTCCTACAGCTATGCAAGAAACTCGACATAAAGAAAGGTGACATGGCTCAGACTTCTTACAAGAAGGGTATGTACTGTGAAGTACTCTCAAGCATCAGAAACTACATGATATTTTAGTTAAATATTTTACATTTCAAGTAACTATTGGCAGGTAATTAAGCACCTTACTAACAGAGATAAGTGACGTGAACCCATTATTACGATTTCATTTACAGAATCAGGAAGACAGTTTCTCTGAAAGCATTAAGAGGTTGTGGTGAATTGATTTTCATCATCAAGAGTATAAATGGATGAGTTCATCTTTCAGGTTAGATGCCCAAGTTAAATATTATTTCTTGGACCACTTGCTTCTTGGTGACCAAAACTTGTGGCTTGTACAATTACCTTTCTGGAAAGCATCCTCACAAAAAAAAATAAAAAAATAAAAAAGTTCCCAAATGTGCTTTTTCAAGAGGCAACTGGACTTTCTTTTTTCTCTTTGAAGACCTTTCGCTTTTCATCCAAGAAGCTTCTACAGCTCTGACTGGATGGTGGGGAATGGAAGGGTTTATATTCCTTGCAGACAGCTGGTCATTTGCATTCTTTTAGAGAGATGCTGAGGCCACCTGGAGGTTTATCTGTGTCCTCAGGGTCACCTGAGTAGTGCGAATGGGTGTGGAGCCTTCTTGGAACCGTTGAAAAGACTGTGTTGTAGACTGGAGATATATAATGTCGTATCCCTCCCCCTATGTTGAGAGAGGGCTGTTCAATTTTGACATAGATGACCTCTTTGACCCCTCCTTCAAACCAGCAGTCCTCTCTGTCCAAAATGTGGAATTGCTGTCTTCAAAACAATGGCCTTTGTCTTTTAAATGGAGATGGACTGCTGAATCTTTTTGCTGATGCGTTTGTTCTTCTAGGTTGTGCCATATGTAAAAATAAAAAACTTAAAAATTGGCACAAACACAAAGAAAAATATTAGTAGGGTATCTATAGCCTATGGAACAAGAACTACTAGAGGCAGAAACCACATTAAGAGTAGGGGGCACTTGAGATCGCATTGTTAATATTTGGTGGGTAATGGAAGAGACAAGAGGGTTCCCAAAAAGAGTTATTTATTGCTTCGTTTGCTTTTAACTGGGTAGATCACAAGATATCATTGATAGCTCTTAAAAATAGGATGGTACCAAGCGATCACATCTGCCTACTGAACAGTATACAGGATGATTAGGAAGCAATCAAAGACAATATAGAGCAAATAAATGTTCCCAAATTAATAGAGGAATGCACTGACATTGTTTTATTGCCCCCTTATATTCTGCATATAAATTAAATAAACGTCACACAAATACTGGAGTAGAAGAAATGGAATTTCAAGTTATAATTCTAGGAAGAAACTTCAACAACATCAGATAGGCTGGTGATACCACTTTGATATCTAAGGACTCTTTTGTTAAAGGAGAAAGAAGAGGCTAAAAAGTCAGTCTCCATGTCAATATTAAAAGAAGTAAATTATTACAAAGCTAACCCCATACAAATAGGCAGAGAAGTAGAATAAGAAATACATTTTGTTTTTCCAGCTAATGGGGATGATGACTTTATCTATGAAATAAAGAGGCATCTGCTGCTGGGGAGAGCGAGTATGATAGATCTACTCAAAAGGTTAAAGTGAGGAGATACGAACTGACAACAAAGGCATGTACTATCAAGGCCTTCATTGAAAGTTGGACCACCAGGAAAGCTGAATGGAAAAAAAAATAGTTTTTGAATTATGTGGCTGGAGAAAAAAGTTAAGAATACCTTGGAATGCAAAGGCAAATCATGAAATACAGGACACTTTTAAAAGCTGTCACTGAAGGAAGCTTTCAAAGCTTTCCCACACCCTTATTACAGATCAGACTGAAAGAACTCACCAACACATGAGAGCGGCTACCACTGCAGTCCAGGTGATGCAGCAAGAATTGGGCTTCTTAGTCTCCGACTCTTCCTCCTTCTTGCAGCAAGACAGGCAAATGAGATAGATGCCAAGGAAAACCAGGTTGAGACCCAAGAAGAGAACTCCGGTCAGAGCCAAGAGGATCAAGGACTATGAGACAAGAAGGGGAGAACTCTCTTTAAGCCTCTGTTTATGGCTTTATAAAACACAAGTAAAACATAAAACAAGACTGGATAGAAAGATCCTTGTACACCACAGCATATAAAATTAGTTTAAAATTAGCCTTTCTAAAATGAAGTTCACTTGGAATTTGTCTTGCTTAAACTACTGGAAAGCAAAGGAACAGAAAAGATGTCAAATGTGTTAAGATCTATTTCCATCCGTATGCCAACCTGTTTAATTTAAATTGGGCAATTGCCAACTAAACTGTTAAATTCTGCTACAGCATCCACTTAAACCAGAGGTCCCCAACCCCCGGTCTGTGGACCGGCACCAGGCATACGAGAAACCGGGCCACGCAAACAAGCGAAGCCCCATCCATGGGATGCAGGCAGCACATGAAACCACACCCCCTCCAGTCCGCAGAAAAACCTCTCCCCACAGAACCAGTCCCTGGTGCCTAAAAAGTTAGGGGCCTCTGACTTAAACAGCTATTTATTTATCAAATATACCGTATTTTTCGCACCATAAGACGCACCTGACCATAAGACGCACATCGTTTTTAGAGGACAAAACAAAAGAAAAAAAAATTTCTAACCGGCGGTGGCGCGGTCAGATAGGCGGCGGCGGCGCGGTCGGATAGGCGGCGGCGGGCCGTCCGGGAGGCCGCGGGGGGGGTGCAGCGGGCC